CAGTGGACACATCAGTGTCCTCCTCGGGTCCCTCAGCACAGCTGTCCAGTGTTGGGTTTTTAACAATTCAGGGCTGCCTCCCTCCCTGGGAGTTGCCCTCTGCTGAGAGCAATTGGCCTCCCAAGGTTATACCCCTCCCAAGAGTCAAGCTGTGGCAAATAATGGGTTCACATGAGAATAGAAGGCTCAGCATCTTTTTTCCCCACCCTTTATTTCCCCTCAACTGAGGAAATACTGAAAGGCCATCTTAGCTCAAAGCTCCCCATTGGAATCCTCAATGGAAACTGCATTTGAGATCAATTTTTTCCCCCACTTCTTCCTCCTCCTTCTCCTCCTCTTCTTCCTTTTCTTCTTCCTCCCTTTTTCCTCTTTCTCTTCCTCATCCTCATCCTTTTTCTTCACCAGACCTGCCCTTCTCACTTTTGGGGGGGGGGGAGGGGATGGGGGGAAAGAGAAGGGGTGTCAGGTATTTCTCCCAGAAGTAATCCCCAATGAACCCTCAATAAAATTCTCCATCTCATAGTCTATTTCTGGGGAACCCAATCTAAGCCAATTAGCAGAATAGTGATCCTGGGAAGCCAGCTATGAAGTGGCAGTTGGGAGGTCCAGACCAGCTGGCAGCATGAACCCCATCACTGGTGGTCAGTGTAGCATTGATAGTCTCTGGAGTGCTTTAGCAGTACAACTGCAAAAGGTCTAGCAAAGTGGCAAGTGTTAGGACACCAGTGGAAGGTGATGCACTGGCTGGGTAAGAACTGAAACTGGAGAGGCAGGGAGGGAAACTAGAATGACCTTGAAGTTAGTGGCCGTGACTAAGTGTCATGGCATTTAGGGAAACGTCCAACTCCTGCAGCAGAAAGCCATCAGCACACAGAACTGGCTCGACTGGACCACATGAGAGCAACAAAGCTCAGAGAAAGGTGGATTCTCAGCTTACAGGCCACACCAGAGAAAGAGTACAACCCTGAGACTAAGAGCATATGGTTATCTGGATTGACATAGTTGAGAATTTTGAACTCCCAGCTTCTCCCAAACCTGCTGGGCCTGTAGAAAGGTCCTATCCCTTGAGATAGAAAGTAGTGAACACAGCAGAGGCCTCAGATGAGTCAGATGCCCTACATGACCTGGCTAGAACCCTTCACACTCCCTGCCCCAATGTGCCCTCCTGTTAAGGCTCAGAAAAGTGGGCACAACCTGGTGGATATAGGGAGAATGCCTGTCAGTTACCATATTCCATGGGAGGCTAGAAGACCGGAGAAAAACCAAGCCATGCTTAGAGAAAGGGAGTTACATTTTATTATTAAATCCTGCCCAGGACCAGAAAAAAATAATGTGCCTTTCAAATTCTGAGCCCCTAACATGGAGGAAACCTTTTCTATTTATACTTTTTCTATTTCTTTATCTCCCAAATTTGGAATTAGACTTCCGGGCCTTCTGAGAAAGAAGGCCTGTGTGCTGGGAAGAGGCCATGAGACCATATCTCAAGGCCTGACCTGGTGCCAGCACTGACAACTCTGTCTGGAACATAATTTATGGCCTCTCTGGAATGCGAATTGTCTTATTTTCCTTATTATTTAAGCAAGCAAGTGTTTACAGAAGCCAAAATGGCAGGGTTAAAATTTCAAACAACCATTTTTATATAAGATGGATGCTTCATCTCCATTTACCAAAGAGATAAGAAATGTGCTGGGAAAGGGACACCAGCATCATTAAGATGTCCAGTAGTGTTTGTCATCTTCCAGCTGGAACCAGCAATAGGAGATGCCATTACAGAACTGGGCTTCCTGGTGGCAATGGGAATGCTAGGACCTCAAAAACCAAATGGGTCACCATGGAGGACAGTTTGTTTAGCAAACTGAAACAAAGACCAGCCTCTATTGTAGTTACCGGGCCAGAAGTGGTACCTTTGACCAGAGCAGATTAACAAAGACTCTAGCACTTGCTATGCAGACATCTCTGTCGGCAAATGCATTCTTTTCCCTGCATTTATCAAAGAGGATCTAAAGCAGTACACATCCACAAATCAGTTACAGTTTTTTGTAGATTTGCAGTTATAGTTGTGTCCCAGGGCTCTGTTGATTAACCTGCCCACTATCAAAGAGACTAACCCATCTATACCGTTCTGCAGAATATCAAATTAGCCCACCATCTTGGTCCCATCATGCTAATGAGGGCAGATAAGCGAGAAGGGGCAGAAACGTTGAAGGCCTTGATGAAGCTCATGTGCTCCAGAGGCTGTACATGAACTCTGTGATTTGGGGTCTTGCCACAGCAGTAAAATTTGTAGCCTCCAATGGCCTGGGGTGTAGAAAGGCATTCTCCCCCAAATAAATGACTAATTACCACATTCACAACTCCCACCACTCAGAAAAGAGCACAATGCCTTGGTAGGCCTCTTTGGGTTCTGGAGGCAGCATATTCTATACTTAGAAAACTGCTCTGACCCATTTACCAGGGCACATGAAAGGTGGCCAGCTTTCAGTGAGGCCTGGACAGGGCTCTATCTCAGGTCCAGGATGTGATACAAACATCCTGTCACTTGGCAGCACAACCTGGCAGATCCTGTGGTATCAGAGGTTTCTGTGTTTGAAAAAGACATCAAGTAAAGTTGATGGCAAGACCCAAAAGGAATCACAATGCGATGCTTAGGCTTTTGGAGCAAGACCATGCCATCTGCAGCAGACATTTCATTTGAAAGGCAGGACTTGGTTTGCCACGAGGCCCTAATAAAAACGGAATATGTGAGCAATGGTATCAAATGGCCATGTGGCCAGACCTGTCCATGATGAGCTTGGCTCTGTCATACTCACCAAGTCATGAAGTCAGGCCAACCCAGCATCAATTCTTTATAAGCTGAGAGAGGTTCATGTAGGCATGAGCAGGATCGCTCATTTGCAAGTAAGCTGCATTAGCCCATAATCTCAATCCCTGTGTCATCTACCCCTGTTGCACTGAGGTCTCTGTCTCAAAGGTCATACCTATTGCTAGGCATGAGAGATCAGGGAAGGGTTCACTTACAGCCACTCATGGAGGCAGAAAAAGTTTGAGCTTGATATATAGATGGGTCACCATGGTGTGTCAGCATGAGCTAAAAATGGGCTGCTATTCCTCTGCAGCCCAGTCAGGAGTGATCCTGAAAGAGAGCAATGGGGAGGACTCTTCCCAATTATCTGGACTTTGGGAGATGCCTCTTACCTCCCATTTTGTGGAGAGACACACATGACCCAAAAAATATATATTCACAGATTTAGGGCGTCTTTATGGGACTGACTGGTTGGACCAAAGTCCTAAAAGGATAAAGATTGGAAGATTGGAAACAATGTCTCAGGAATTCCATCTAGACGGACAAGTAGAAATGAATACAAAATGTGAAGATTTTAGCATCGCAGGTTAATCACCTACAATGAGAGACACACAAAACAACCAAGTGGACAGAATGACTCGGTCATTTGACATCAGCCAGTATTTGTTACGTGCCCCCTATTACAGATGTGATGGACATATGAGCAGGTGATTATGGTAGAAGGAAGGAAGATCCCTGTGGGCCTATGAGGCACTCCCATCACCAAGGCTGATATAGCTACTGGTGCTACTGAATATCCAAACTACTAGCCATGGAAGTCCAAACCAAGCCCCATATTTGACATCATCCTAAGAAGATGAATTAAGCTCTTGGTGGCAAGGTTCAACTCCTTTCACCCTGAAAGGTGTAATGATTCATTTTGACTAATATAAATAATTCATGTAATATGAGCTTGGCTTTTCTAACCATAGGGCTTTGGCCAACCCAATTACTATCTGAGGATTAAAGAGGATGTCTTCAGCTGACATAAAATCTTAACCTGCATGCCCTTAGGCAAAGGACGCACTTTATGGCAAAAAAAAAAAAAAAAAAAAAAACACACAACACAACACAACAGCAACAACAAAAAAAAAAACACAGTAATGTGACCCTCAGCTGTCACATGCCTAAGAAAGTAGTGGAATGGCCTCTTAAAGAAGAAATTGAGATGTCAACTTGAAGATACTATTGTTCGGACACACGTTATGTGCCCTAAAGGTAGAATGCAGGAGTCAGGAAACTAAAGGGTGGAAGGAAGAGTGGGCCCACTTACCACCAACGCATACCCCTTGGGGATGTACGCTTCCAATCCTACAACTTCCGGTTCCCAGAAGAGGAACACTGGCTGGGATCTCAAGAACCCATTACATGTTAAACTGCAACTGCCATCAGTCAGTGGGCTCCTCATACCAGAAGGCCAACTGGCCTGGAAAGGAATCACAGGACAGAAGATGGGGCTGATGCTAGACAATGGGGACAGAAGAGAATGAATCTCTTTGTAAAGTTATGCACTGAGGCCTCTCTGAATATTCACAGGCCTTCTTCTAACAGACACAGGAGCCGTGTGGTAAGAATTACCTGGTAACCAGGACCTCAGAGCCCCCGCAGGGATGAGTGTCTGGTTAACCCCACCAGAATAATCACTAGTAAAAAGGATCAGGCAAAGGTGACGGTATCTAGAATGATGGTGGAGTAGGAGGTTGGTGAGTATGGGTTACGGCTTCAAGATCAACTGTAGCAGAAGGCGCTGGGTGCTTGGTCCCTAAGACCTGAGAGTCTCCGGAGAGCAGTGAGTGGGCTCAGAACCTCCGCGAGTGCTGGCACCGAGGAGCCCTGGACATGGCCTGCAGTGGCCACGCTCCTGGTCCGAGGAGCACAATGCCGCCTCTGCCTTCGCTTCTGCCTCCTCCTCTGCCTTTGCGGAGGTCGAGCCAGCGGGCCAGCAGCCAGAAAACGGGGCATCTGGCGAAATGGTGAGAGGAGATCCCTCCGCCTCAGCCCTCGCGCTGCCCCAGGCGCCTCTGCGCAGGCCCCGAGGCCCTGGGGTTGCTGGCGCGCGCCCCCACCGTTACTGTTCCAGATCCCGGGGTTCTAACTGTTACTAAACCTTCAGAAATCTACCCCGGGAGGAGCCAATCTTCTAGTGATAGCGGTCGCCATGGATAAGATGAAGATCAAAGGGCTGCTGTCAGTGACACTCAAAGGGGGCCCGAGCATGCACAAGACCAGCAGTTCCCCGGAGCAGGTGGGACCCAAGGACAGAGGCTACGGAGGTGGCAGTGATCTTGGCAAGGCCCCCACCCGTGCCGCCCCCGGGGACCTTCCTTCTGCTACGTGGGTACCGCTCAGCTCTGTGCCCGAGGTTGTACACCAGAAACTGAAGAAGGAGCCTGAGGGGAAGAGTGGCCAGGCTTCAGCCGCATCCTGGGGTGAGGAACAGTCCCCCGTGACGGTGCGCAAGCACACCCATCCCCTGTGCAAGATCTTCACCGAGGACATCAGTGAGCGCCTGTCGCTGACCGCTGGCAGCCAGCTGCCGGAGGGCTGCCTGGAGAAGCTGGCCCTCAACAGGCCCATCTTCAACAAGCCCCTCAGCCACCTCCTCCACCACGTCAGCCTGTCCGAGATTGGCTTCGAGAAGCTGGAGTCCTACGTCAAGCTGGACAAGCTAGGCGAGGGCTCCCATGCCACCGTGTACAAGGGCAAAAGCAAGCTCACAGACAGCCTTGTGGCGCTCAAGGAGATCCGACTGGAGCATGGGGAGGGGGCGCCCTGCACCGCCATCTGGGAGGTGTGCCTGCTCAGGGACCTAAGACACGCCAACATCGTCAGGCTGCATGACGTCATCTACATGGAGAGGTCCCTCATCCTCGTCTTTGAGTGCCTGGACAAAAACCTGAAGCAGTACCTGGCCGACTCTGGGAACGTCATTGACATGCACAACGTGAGGCTGTTCCTGTTCCAGCTGCTCCGGGGCCTGGCCTACTGCCACCGGAAGAAGGTGCTGCACCGGGACCTCAATCCGCAGAACCTGCTCATCAACGTGAGAGGGGAGCTCAAGCTGGCCGACTTCGGCTTGGCCCGGACCAAGTCCGTCCTCATGAAAACCTACTCCAACGAGGTGGTGACGCTGTGGTACCGGCCGCCCGACCTCCTGCTGGGGTGCACCCACTACTCCACCCACATTGACATGTGGGGAGTGGGCTGCATCTTCTACGAAATGGCCACGGGCCGGCCCCTCTTCCCCGGCTCCTCGGTGGAGGAGCAGCTGCACGTCATCTTCTACATCTTGGGGACCCCCACGGAGGAGACATGGCCAGGCATCCTGTCCAACGAAGAGTTCAAGGCACACAACTTCCCCCAGTACCGTGCCCAGGCCTTTCTAAGCCACGCGCCCCGGCTGGAGAGCCATGGGGTCGATCTCCTCACCAAGCTGCTGCGGTTCGAAGGCCGCAGTCGGATCTCTGCCGAGAATGCCATGAAGCACCAGTTCTTCTTCAGCCTCGGGGAGCAGATCCACAGGCTCCCCGACACGACGTCCATATTCGCGCTCAAGGAGATCCAGCTACACAGGGAGGCCGGCCTTCACGCCTCATCAGTGCCTGACTCAGGCAGGCCAGCTTTCCGTGTGGCGGACACCGAGTTCTAGGTCACCCACCCAGGCCCCAGCAGGCAGCAGCTGGAGGGATGCTACACCCTTCACAGGACACCTACCAACAGTGTCCCCTGCTGCCTACCTGCCTACCTGCCTACCTGCCCGGTTCATGCTTGCCTGCCCACATGCTCCTGACTGCCTGTCTGACCATCTGACCATTGGCCTGTCAACCACCCATTGGCCTGTCTGCTGGGTGCTAACAAAGCTCCCATCACTCCTTTGAAAAAGAAAAAAAGAAAAAGAGAAAGAAAGAATGAAAGAAAAAAATGAATGAAAGAAAGGGAGAAAGAAAGAAAGAAAGAAAGAAAGAAAGAAAGAAAGAAAGAAAGAAAGAAAGTCAACTGTAGAATAGGAGGTATGGTTTGTCCACCAATCCTTCAAATTCTTAGAAAATGAGACCAATCTGAATCCTGGAGGCCCTGTTTCTAGATGAGATATAAGAAGTAAGTACATCTGAGTGGCACAAATCTAGGTGGGCTGGAGTGGATACTGCTGTTATCTCGCAAGGTCTCCTTTTCTCTGAACATCCAGCCCCCTCATACTGGGCATATGGCTGCTGATAGCTCAGAGCTGCATCCCTTCCTGGGAATTATCCGCTGGAGGGAACTGGTTTATCCAAGGTTGTTACTTCTCCCAGGAGGCAGCCCATACAACCAGCGACTGGCTGGTGTAAATACACAGCCACCACACCCTGGCCTCAGCTTAGGACAACTCTGAAGGCCTGTCCCAGCTCCAGAGCTCTCCCTGGGATCAGCCGAAACCTCAGCTGCAGTATCATTGCTCTTCAGTTTCTACCACCTATTCCATCTTATTTTCTCACAGGTGTGTCTCCTAAGAGCAATCTATAAGAAGCCCTCTACTTTGTTTCAGCGACTCTGTGTCCGGTTAACCTGAGTCAGTACCTATCACTTCCCCATGTTGATGTTTGCATCACGTCAAATGCACTTTCCAGGAAGGGTGAGAATGTCCCCGCTACCCACACCTCTTCTCCAGCATGAGTGACAGTTAGCATAGGACTGATCCCCCACAGATGTCTAGGGACCTATTGGGAAGGTGCCTGAATATAACCAGAGTCTACCCCATCGTGGTAAAATCACAAGGCTCCCATGCATGAAGCCAGGATCACTGCCCTAGAGTGTGAGACACACATGGACCCAAACACGTGGAAAGGCTGCCGACCCAGGAGGTGGGGGGGGCCAACTAAGCAGGGCTTCAGCAGCAATATCACCCCCTGCATCTCTGCCTCAAAAGTAAAAGTAAACAATGGAGCTTCCTCTCCACAAATCTACCTGCAAGCCCCTTGAAGTTCCCTCATAAAAATGGGCGTAAATAGTGTGTATCTGGACTAACATCAGAGCAAGAAGATGCTCTAAGTTACCTCTATGGCCTCAAAGTTTACCTAATCCTATCCAATACTTCTTTGTTGCCATGTTGTTTAGTGTATTTCTAAATGTTAGCATGTATCACACTGCACTGTATTTAGGAGGGACCATTCTCCTAACTGTGAGACCTTTCAAAGCAAGAACCCAAGCTATATACATCTTCATGTTCCCGGAGCTTGGCTGAATGAATGTGGCTCCACGTGTAGGTCCCAGGAGGTGTAATAGATGACATGTCACCTCAAGCTCTCTTCAAGTGGCAACATCAAACCAACCAAAAAAGAGATTTAAATGTGTATGTTAAAAGTGTATGTATTCTTTGGTAAAACACTACATGCATTTTTAAATAAAGGAACGCTATTTTTTTCTATAGATTTATCTGTTTGCTAATTTCTTTACACTAAGAGGCAATTGTTTGTAATGTTCCTTAAAAGAAAGAGAGAAGAAAGCATTGATCCCTGGAAATTCTCCCCTTTGTTCTAACAACAAACTGGTTTTAGGCTCGCTTTGAAGGTTCTTGGCCTTTTCCACATTTCTGCGGAATGTACCAACAGGTCTGAGCGATTGAAGGCTCTCCCGAGATCAGGCCAGTAGGAGATGCTGCAGGAGTTGGCTCACGTTGGCTCACGTGGCTATGGAGGCCAAGAAGTCCTGCGGTCTGCCGCTGTAAGCTGGTAAACCAGGAAAGCCGGTGGTGCAATCCAGTCCAAGTCCAAAGGCCCAAGAATCAGGAGCACTGATGGCCAAGGGCAGAAGACCAATGACTCAGCTACAGCAACGAGAGCGCATTTCCCCTTCCTTCCTCCAGGGTGTGCTCTATGCAGGCCCTCAGCAGATTAGATGCAGCTCATCCTCATTAGTGAGGGCCACTTTTTTTACTCAGGGTATTGATTCAATGCTAATCTCTTTCAGATTATACCCAGAAATGATGTTTTTCCTAGTTTTCTGGGCATCTCTTAGCACACCCCCTCCCCTTCAAGTTGACACATGAAATTAACCATCACAGGGTCTAAAGCTCAGATTGAAATTTACACACAACCTGCACCAGGAGAGACTATGAAGGCTCCTGGTGCCCAGAGGGCAGGACCCAGCTTGCAGCTGGGAACAGTTTGCCTCTGCCTGCCCCCTGAGGAAGCTGCTTCCTTCTCTCCTTTGCTGTGAAGGTCCTGGTGGTCAGCAAGTCAGCAGCCCATGAGTCAGAAAGTCAAAGTGAGAACCAAAATCCCACTAATCAAAGCACATAGGTTACATATCTATGTGTGTTTTCAGAAACCTTGGGAGCATATGCTTCAAAGATGAATATGGGTAAGGGAATTTTTCTTGTCCAATTGAATTTCTTTTTATATCATGAATGTGTGCTTCAGTATAAGATATTTTTACATTGGGAAAATACACAGTGATGAGGGAACCAGAAGTCCTGTACTTAGGAGTTGCCCCACCCAGTGTTTTCCAAGTCAGCTGGAAGGCTGGCCAGCACAGTCAACTCTGCCCCTACTCCTTCCCCATTCTCCTTCCTCATTCCCCACTGCTGTGATGGTGCGCAGTCACTATGTAACCAAAAAATGCAGCGTTGGTTACCTCCCACAAGGAAAGCCAAACTCCTGAGGCAAGTGCTGGTGCCAAAAGAAGGAGGGTTTATTCAGGTGCTGCACAACCTGGGAGAATGGTGGACTTCATCTCAAAGACCATCCCCCTCCCCTCCTGCTCAAGCCCTTGGTTCTTACAGGGATAGGGAAGGGAGGGCTTTTTTCTATCCAACCATCTTGCTAGCTTTTGGTGTGCTTGGGTCCTGTCCATTTGTCTTTCTAGCTTTTGTCTTTTAGGTGTATGAACCTCCCCCTGTACCATCTTGGCCAATGGGGAGACTGCTAGATCTCTGATTGACAGTCTACGGTAACACTCAGGGTTGCCCAGGAGGCAGCACCAAATCTTGGACTTGAGTGGAACAGCCAAGGGGGTGTACTGAAATGTTAGAGCTGCGAAGGGCTCTGAACACCATCTAGTCTAACCCCCGTGCTTTAGAAGTGAGCCAACCGAGGCTCAGCTGCAGAGGGATCACACAACTATCTGGTGGCAAAGCCAGACATAGATAGAGGCTCTGGCCTACCAACTCCCAAGCCTGCTCCTTCCAGCCTTCCACATTGTTCTTTCCATTTGTAGCTGCTAAGGCTCAGGAACCTGCTAACCCTCCCTCTATGAACCCCTCTTCAAAAATGGGGCAGGTGCCCTCGCTGGTTTGGCTTCCAGCGATAGAGCTTCGGCTTGCGGACTCAGGGGTCCCAAGTTCGATTCCACTCAAGGGCATGTACATTGGTTGTAAACATATACCCAGTGGGGGGGGTGCAGGAGGCAGCTGATCAATGTTTCTCTCTCATTGATGTTTCTAACTCTCTCTCCCTCTCCCTTTCTCTCTATAAAAAAATCAATAGATATATATTTTTTAAATGGGGCAGGGGGAAATATGGAGGGGGGATAAGGAAAGGAAGAAGAGAGAAAAAGGAGAGGAGGGAGAAGGACACCAAAGTGAAGCAAAGAAAAAGAAAAGGGAGAAAGGCTCCTCTTGCTACCTAGGCTAAGCGGGCAGAGAAGACAGCCGCTCTCCATCCCCCTTCCTGCCCCTCTCCCCCCACCTGCTTCTCCCATTCTCAGCTGCCAGCAGCCTTCTATAACATTGTTTTTACTCCAAGGCTACCTGTGACCTTCACCCAAGTGACCTCTAGTTAAGAATGTCACAGGGCAGGGGACGACTGTCCCAGTCCCACTCACACTAGAGATGGCCAAAGTAAGAGGATCACAGGCATACGGGAATGCCAGGTGGAGGGAACGCTTCTTGCTCGAATCGTGCTCATTTAGCCAGTAAACAACTTTGTCTGCCTTCCTTTCCCTGCATGAGTAACTCAGAGGGAAGGGAATGTCCCCCTCATTAAGCGAGGTGGCAAACACACACAGTGCAGAGCACGTGTGCACGTTAATTTTTGCCGGCTGTCGCCTTTGTGTTTTGAATAAGCCAGATTCCTTTGTGTAACTGCTTGATGAAACAGTCCCATCCATTCTGTCAACACAAATTATACAGTTAAACATGCATGGTGCCCCAACCCACACAATACCAAGGAGAGAGCGCTGACTAGCCCTGGGGGTATGGGCTCCCAGGAATAGCAGCCCAGGTCCAGCCCTCCCGCTGCCCTCCCGAAGCAGCCCAGCCTCCAGACCTTGTTATTCGCTGTCCACCTTCCAAGGACAGTTGCTAGGAGACGGGGATACAGCTGGCTGGGTCTGTTGCCTAGCCCCTGCGGGGATGGGGTAACAGAGCAAGGAGAGCCAAGAAACACAGCACTTGGCCTTCAGGTCACAGGTACGTTCTAGGCTTCAGAAGGGGCTCCTCAGTGGTGAGGCTCTTTCTCAGAGAAAGGGCCCTCACACACGCCGGGGGTCTCTCACTCCATTTCTGGTGAGGTTTCTGAGTATTTGTCTAAAGTACAGAAGGTACACACACACACCCCTACACACATACCCCTCTATGTGTACACAACTCTACACATATACCACTATCCATATCTACACAGATAGTTCTACACACTTACCCACATATACAGCTACACACACCCCTACACTCAC